TTGATTTAATACTTTTCAAATTCAAACATAATGTGTTCTCAAATCAAATGAAGAATGATCCTCACAGTTGTGAGCGCAAACTATGCAATTGCGTAATAAGCCTGAAAAACAAATTCCGTCGGACTTCAACGGGATTTGAACCCGTGACTTCGCAATACTGGTGCGATGATCTAACCATTTGAGCCATGAAGTCACTAATGTTGGGAACTGGTCAATTATGTGTTAATATGTTCCCGTGAAAGAGACGAATGTGATAGATGTATATGAAATAAACATATAAGAACAGCGGAAATGAAATCAAACGAAGAATGATCCTCGCAGTTGTGAACGCAACTTATGCAATTGCGTAAGAAGAAAAGTATGTTCTATTTTCAAGATCATGCTTTTGAACCTTAGGAGAGGAACACCCCGGAGTCCATATCTGTATAATTTCTGTAGTAAAACCTGTTGGTAGTCAGTATCATAGGCTTTCGAAAGGTCAAGAAAGATACTACATACATTTTCATTTGTCAATTTTCATTTTAAGGTTGTTTGTGAGTTCGGGAACAGCTTCCTCAGGAGAATAATTTCGCCAGTTTGGTTCCAGCGGTTAAAAGCTCATTGGACGGCCGCACCCTACTTACGCCACTGTGGTGAGTTTAAGATTTGAGCGAGGTTCGCCACTGGGAAACCACTTTTGAGATTATCGTGAAAGTCGAATAGGGTACTACATACCAATTCTTTTATTTCCTTTGAAGGCACCTCACATGGTTCTAAGTGTCCCGTTCTTGCCCTTCCCTTTTGGAAATTAATCCTTTCCTTTTTTATCACTTTTTTCATGTATGTCTATTTCATCTACTTTGGTCTTGCCTAATAAAGTATGGAATAAATTCTTAGTTAAGTTAACAACTTCATTTACTTTTGTGAAAAATGCGCAGGGAAAGACAACGGAACATTAGCTTTATTATTAGACGATGACATGTTTGTAATTTCTTTTGATTTATACTGTGGAACTGTAAATTCGCGTGGCAAAAAAACAACAACAAACAAACAAACAAACACATTGCCTGAACTCTACGCATTGACCCTTGCGACGCAAGACGACACAATTCTAAAATATACCCATTTTTTAAATTTATTTATTTTTTATCTCAGCAACTCACAAGAAACAGTTAACCTATAAATTATATGAGTTAATATTAATCACGTGATCTAACTTTTCTAAGTGACCTGTAAGATTCATATTCTTTCCTCAATCTTATATATTAGAAGTAGGAGGTTACATGCAAAATGTCTTCTGAGAACAGCAACAATACAATTTTAACAAAAGTATCTTAAGACTTTCCTTACAATCATCATCAAGATACAAATAACATCGTTTCGACTGAAAATAGAAGATCCCCTCCAACTTTATCCTTCAAACTTCAACACAACGCTATTAACGAAAGATTTCACAGCAATTTTTTTAATCATTCACATGACGATTAATATTGAATAATACAGTAGTACACTTCCCAACCTTCTTAATTCTTTTGTGTTGGTATAACATCATCATCATCAAAAAATACTAGAGAAGCATATCTAAAAGGTGACGTACGCTTTATATTAAAATCTTTTAAATAACCGTCGTCCTCCTCCCAGTCACCATCATCACCATCACTACCACCACCATCATCATCATCATCACCTTCGCCATCATTACCATCATCACCGTCCTCCTCCCCCTTCTCCTCCTCCTCCTCCTCCTCCTCATCATCATCATCATCATCATCATCATCATCATCATCATCATCACTATGTAGTGTAGGTCAGTACACCAGTCATAGTTATCGTGAAGCCTTCTTCAGTATTTCCAAGAGCCCATCTGAAGAACAACACGCAGTACATCTCCAAAAACACAAAGATTCCCCTCTTTCTATTCAGAAATCTACTCAGCAATTTAGGATGTTTAAAAAAACGTGAAAAAAGACGTGTTTCACAGACCCATCGTCTCAAAGAAACAGACCTCAGCAGTTGAATAAGTCTCTCACGCAAGCAGGGGAGATGCGTGAGAAGCCAAGAGAATTTCTGCGTGGGAGGCCACAGCTAACTGACTTTCTGCCTTGTCACCAAATAGTTCCAACCTAGACATGGCACCCAGCCTCGGTTTGGCAACAAAAAAGCCTCCAACTATTTTGTTTGGTATAATCGTTTGCTTCTTCCAAAATCAACACTGATGATCTACTCATTAACACTCAGTAAAGCTCGGTAACACTTACGCTCAACCCAAAGAGAGCAAATCCAGCCGTTGAAATTTTGTCACCAAGCTCTGTTAACCACCTGAAACGTTTGCCAAGTTTCAAACCGTACATTTGCCAAGTCCCTTTGCATTAGGCTCCGAACAAATGCAGCACACTCACCGGAACGTCTACTAATACTGTACAGCCAACTTTCAATGAGACGCTCGAGGTTCCTTTGCAAGAACAACTTAGTAAGGCTCAGTATCATCAAGCTCTGTTAACCGCCTCAAAAGTTTGCCAAGTTTCCAACTGTGCATTTGCCAAGTCTATTTGCATTGGGCTCCGAACAAATGCAACACACTCAGTACAGTCACTAATACTGTACAGCCAATCTTCAGTGGAACGCTCAACCTTCCTTGGCACTAACAACTTGGCACTCCTTAAAGACACTATCATCTCACTAATAAACAATGGCAATCTCTTTCCCTTTTATCTTAAAAAGTCTCCTGTCGTATGGGTAGCTATCCAGTAGCCCTTTCTACATCATGACTTTGTACTTAAGATCAGATAGGGCAACAATCCCTGCTCAGCAGTTTCACTAAATCCAAACAACGGGTTTTGTGCTTCAGCTAATCCAGTTTTCTCTAGAAGAGTACAGTTATTCAATTAGTCCAGATATAACTCTTCTTCCAATTCCCTGTGTAAAGCGCTTCTCAGATGCATAGCCACTCCCCTGGGATGCCTGCACTGCACATTGCACAGGGGACAAACTACTTCCTGAGAAAACATCTCCGAAGACCTGAGGAAAAAGGACAATCATCAATAATCAAAGTAGTGCTATAGCGATGCGAGTCTTCTGATGATATCTTTATTGGCCAGGGTGAGTTACTTGCTTGCCAGTAATTCAAACAAACATAACAGGATTTAGAATCCCATCTGAGGAGGCGAAGCATGCAGTTGGCTATATACAAACGTGATCCAGGATTTAAACTCCGTACTACCCGGCGAGAACAAGTCCAGCTAGCGGTTTGAACTTAGGGCTTCCGGGATTACCAGTCCATGGCTCGGTTCTGTTGAAACACGTTAAGCCCCTCTAGTACCGGTTTTGATTCATTTTTTACCAATTTGCAGCAAAAAAAATGAAGGGCTAAACTCGAGAAAGAAGGAGTTAAATACGTCGGTGGAGAAGGTGTGGCATGAGAAAATCACGCATTATATTTAGGTTTTTTTAAAAAAAATTCACTGATGATGTGCTCGGCGATTTAACAAATCGATAACAATGTTTCATGCTCTGTACTCTTATCGACCATACAAATGGCGTCAAAATGTCCAATGTTCATGTTTTAGTGCAAAGGTTTCAACATTTTGAAGTCATTTCTACGGTCGATAACAGTACAGACCATGGGAAATTGTGCACGATTTGTTGTTGTTGTTGTTTATTGACCAGCCTTTCCGGGGAAGTTTCTTGGAAAAACTGCGCCATCATTCGGTCATTTCTATGGTCTATGCTCTCTTCGACTATAGCTCTTGACCATTCAGCGTGCGGAAAACGCTCGATTGTTCGGCCGCCATTTGCACGTCTCCCACAATACTTTGTTTGCCCCTCAAAACTTTGCATAACCTTAGATTTGTTATTTTCCCTGGGTATTACAGTCGACCCAAGAGAAATAAAAGACAATGCTTAAGCAAAATTCTTGGGGGCAAACAAGGTGTATTATTGGAGATGTAAAAATGGCGAATGGAAACAATGGACATCCTATTCGCTTTCTGTATTGTATCTATTATCAATTTTTTATTTTCTCTCTATTTATTATATATGTAAATTTAGTATATACACACTCAGTGATCTTGGTAATTCAAGCAATCTGGTTGGTTAGCTATCTCGGACTATGACGTTATATTCACCGCGCTAGGCGGTGAATTTAAAGCCGAACAAAATCGCTGTCGTGAACTGGGTGTTTTGCCAAAGTTTCAAAGTAAAACCTTTTTGAAAATACACGAATATCCAAGTGCTGATGACTTTGAAGGCAAGAAAGGACTTCATGGTGTTTAAACAGCGTGATTTATTGTGAAGTGGTTTACTTTAGCTGACTTTTTGTACGCTCGAAGCTATGTTTACCACTTCAGAGGAAAACGAGGTCGCTTTGTCACTGTTTTGTGATTTCGGGATTTTCTCGCAAGACCAATTTTGCCTATAAATAGAAGTTAATTTATGGAGAAGAGAGGAAGGCAAATATTTTCGAAAATTGTACGTGCCAGCAAGTTAACAAGGCAAAGAACTTTGGAGATAAACAACGCTCACCTTGATCGCAGCCGCTGTTGACAGCATTTGCAAGAAGCGACGAAGAAAACTTTCTCATTCACGGTGAGTTGACAGAAACAAATAAAGCTCTAGATACTTTTCTTCTCAGAATTAGGTAGTAATTTAAATTTACTTAACTCGATTACTTTAACTCGATACAAAAGGATTAAAACTATCATTTGCCATGTTTGAAGATACTGTAAAGATCTAACTTTTGCGCATCCACTGTTTACGGCTTCGTGTTCACGCATGAATTTTCACCCGTCAATCAAACTAATCGTTTTTTAATGGTTTCTTTTCTGATTCTGTTTAGATCACTTCGTGTGAATATACTAAAACAATTATTCACCTCAGGCTCAGTTAATATTGTTGAATAATCCCCTCGACTTCGTCTCGGGGATTATTCAACAATATTAACTTCGCCTTCGGCGAATAATTGTTAAATATAATTAATTGTAATTTTAAGCATTGTTTTTACTTTTGCTATTTTTATCTGATTTTTACTTTTCACGCACTGTTTCGTTGTAAATAAGTGTCAGCTTTATGAATTCTGTGCTAAATAAATAAAGTATCTAGTATCTAGCCAACGAATCTTGGCAGAAATAGAAATTTACCTTCCTTCCAAGCTTCTAAGCCACTGCATCTGCTCTCGCTTTTCTTCTCGTTTAATTCTGGATTCATCGTCGTCTTCTAGTGGCCTATCAGAGATCGCAATACCACAATGCAAGGTGTAAAGGGCACAATCGACGGTACCTGCTCGTTGTTGGATTGGATTCATTTTATAAGCAGGATCAATCTGTAATATTAAAGAGACAGTATCATGAGAATTCTCCAGGCTTTATGTGAAACCTACACCGTACATGTAATTTCAGAAGGTTTTGACTGAGGCTACAATCGACGGCAAAACTGCTGAGACACTCAAATAGGGTTACTTCAGAGAAGAAAACAATCCACACCCCTCCTCCTCCCCTCCATTCAAAGTTGTTTTTTCTGTTTTTTTTTCTACAGGTAGCTCTAACAGCAACACAACATTACACAAATGGGGATGGGGAAGGGAAATCTTTGTTTTCCCCCTTGATGTCGGTGAAACGTCAGAAAGGCCCTTTAAGGCAAAGTGTCTCTATCAATTTTTTCGCCGATTGTAGTTTGCCTATTTGTTGACAGGAAGGCCTTTGGGTCTGACATTAGCTAAAGGAAACAGGTTATGACTAAGTCTTGTAAGAAGATACAGTATGGCACGGCTCAGATGGCCACAAAGGAGAAAGGGGAGAAAGGAGGAGAAGAGAAACAAGCAATGGTCGCACTCTTTGTTTTTATAATGAAAATGTTGTTGAAAATGTTGGGCGGTAAAGGCCCATTTGGCGGTAACGTTTTCAAACATCCGGCTAAATATATACTACAGGCTATCAGAGGTTTTCTCACCTGATTCCAGCGAGAGGACCGTGGAAATGCCCATGGTTTTACGCTTTGACGCGGTTTCAGAGTAAGACTATTGCGACAAAAAGAAAACAACAGACAATTCTCATAATAATAATAATAATGGTGATAATAATAACAGTAATAATAATAATAATAAATAATGATAATAATAATAATAATAATAACAAATAATGATAATAATAATAATAATAATAACAACCTTTCATTCACTACTTTCACATAGACCATAATGCATTATGCTTATCCCCAAAACTTTGCATAACCATTGTTTCCAGTTTCTCCTGGGTATTACAGTCGTCTTAAGAGAAATCCAAGACACTGGTTATGCAAAATTTTGGGGGTAAACAAGGTGCATTATGGTCTATGTGAAAATGGTGAATTCGATAAAAATACACATCGAAAGTTACAAACGTCATAAATTATCAGATCAAAAACTGTTGAATGATACGTAACTAAGAAAGAAAAGAAAAAAACGGTTGACGTCCGTCGCTCAAAAACGCTGTTGCTTAAGCTCCCTAATATAGAGTGTTTTCACTCACGTGGCCAGCATCTATGCAAATTTATTGAAACAAACGAAAGCGTTTGCATACGAAGAGTTCAACTCCCACGGAACTGGTTTGGGACACCAACATGGCCGCCGTGACGTCATGTGAAAACACTCTATAGAATATAACGGACGGTGTTTATCCTCGCTAACTTCATCATAAAGCTTTCTATCAGATTGTCCTAAAGGGTCACAAATGGTTAAACAAGATGGAAAGAAACACAATTCTCTCCTCTTACAGTAGACTGCACAGCCAACAACTTTACTTTCACATGTGTTACTGTCCTGTACAATGCACACATTACAGTCAAGCCCAGTCAAGCGTACCCATCAAGATTCCGCTGAAGAATTTATGGTTCGAAACTTGAATCCGTTGGTAGCAGTTGACTTCAGATTCATATCTGCATTCCTGCATGCGTAATGAGCAGTGAATTCACACGGGAGGAAGCCATGAAATTTCTACCAGCTAAGCATTCTTGGATTTCATCAGGTGAAAATCTCTTCAAATCAATTTTTTTCCATTCAAAGATTTTTGTCGATCTGGCCGAATACAGAGAAGTTCAGTCGAAAGAAATTCACTGTTCATTACGCATCCAGAAGTGCAGAATTGAATTGAATTTACTTGTTGCAACAACGACTAAAGGATTCATTTCTCAAGTAATTGATTCAATTATAAGTACTCTTGGGGGATACACCTGACATGACTCGACTGTAATATTATGAGCGTCACCCTGGAAGCTCGAACTTTTCTTTTTGTTATCAAGGTGAAGATAATTAAATAACATACAGTTACATACGTTGTTATCATGTTTCTACTTCGCTTCTGTAGTTTTTCTACTTGCGATGTTCCCCATTCTGCCATCTCCGCCTCGCTCTCAAACATTAGGTTAATCGTGGTACGCAGCGAGTTGATCTGAATACCAACCAAAGAAAGGTAATAAGTCGAACCTTCCATAATACAGAAATCAAGAGACAGAACCAACCGCCCACATCACGGCTAACTTTAACCCTTGAAGTCCCAATGGTGACCAACATCAATTTTCTCCTAACAATATCCACAAATTGTCAAGAGATAATAAAATGATATCTAAGAGAAAATACTTTGATCTTTTATCAAATTCTCAACACATTCTTTAAGGAAATATATAGAGAGCAGTTTGGAGAATTTGTATGTGGATATTGGGGCTTAAAGGGTTAATGGGTAAATCTTTGGTGATGATATTCGCTTTGTTCACAAGAGAACGCGTATAGAAAAGATACATACATAAGTATATACACATACATATATACTCTGTTTCCAGGAAGCCATTACGACACCCGAAGGAGGATCATGACGTTATCCCTACAGTAAGATCATTCCTCACAGATAACCCACCCAGCCCAGGCAAGGTTGGCCACACCACCGGGGTCTGAATCTTCTCCTTTAGAACAGCGGTGTGGGTTCTTGTACGTCCCACAAGAACCAGATAAGTGAAAGTGCCGCGAAACGGGACCTACGGTTTTTCGTAATCATCCGACAAGACTAGAATGTCCTGTTTGCAGATGTCAAATTACAAAGGCAGCACTTTCTTGTCAGTTATTAAGCCCTGAGTGTTGGTCCGGCCGGGATTGAACCCGCGATCTCCCGCACAGCAGACCGGCGCTCTTCAAAATGAGCTAACCAGTCACGTTAAATTACCACAGACTGTACAATATTAAGCTCAATGCGTTTAACACTTTGGCAAAGATTTGACATTAGTAAATCAAAAATTTCTGGGTGAAGAAGATGAGAGCAAGTAATGTTATGTCACCACTCGGACGAATCGCTTTGGGCACATGGAGCAGAGGAGTTATTTGTGACCTTGATTGTAGTTAAAATTTTCAGGTATAAATACAGTCAAACCTGGATATAACGGCCCTGTATATTACGGTCACCGGACAACAACCCAAAATTTTCAGTTGCCTTATATTTTCTGCAAAGTTGACCTGTATATAGCGGTCACCCTGTATATAACTGTAACCTTGCCATTTCCCAAGGGTTACCGTTGCACACAGGTTTGACGGTGGCTCGATTCGCCTCTGTTTACTGTAGAATCGAAAATGAACTTGACCAATCAAACCGTCATGCGATCCTGTTACAAACCCGGTTAAAATATTATCCAGTCCTCGGTGGAAACAAACGTCAGCCAAAGGCCAACGCATTTGGAGAGCGAAGCTTTCCTAGCGAGGCACGAGCTGCCGAAAAATGTAGACTGTAAGACGATTATAGAGAAGCACTGAAAACTCATTTATGCGGGGCGAGCCTCGACCTAAAGTAAACTATTCACAAATACCGGCGAAAGGGTGCCTGAATTTGAGTTTAAAACAACAAACACAGATGTATGCAGGTCTTCTTCTGACCGGAATTTGTGAATAAATTTACCTTAGGTTGAGGCTAACCCTGTATAAACGAGTCTTCAGAGCTTCTATTCAGCGGCCGCGGCGAATTCGAAACTGGACTATTCTTTAGAATTCATTTTGTAGTGAATGGGTTGGTGCTTGCGACGGTACTAAGAGTTGAACATGTGAAAGGAATGGCGTAAATTTCTTTCTAACCTTGATAAGGTCGTCCTGATCTATCTCCACCTCGAACACAAGCTCGCTGTCATGGTCTGGCAGCAGTGCCTTTCCTGTGTGCGGATCAAATCCCAGGCCTACCAACGCTCCTGTATACTTACAGTATTCGGGGTCGGCCCTGTGGATACAGGAGGACACAAGGGAGACAATCACTGACGTTGTTTTAATTTTCGTAAGCATTGTAAGTATTGTCTTAAAAGTAAGTCACAATCCAAAAAGGTAACATTTTTGACTCGTAAAAAGGTCAGGATCATTTATGGTGTGTAAAGAATCCTGAGAGTAGAAATACGACAACTTCTCTCGTTACCTCATTTCTGCATATGGAGCGAAGATAAGCGCGACAATAGACATCAGGCCATGTATGTTTGGCATCAGAGTTGTGTCTCTGGAAGAGCACAAACACACTGAGTAAAATGAGTCGGTCATAAGCTGCTTGCTGAGTATAGCTATGCAGGTAAATTAGACTCAGCTGCTAATTTGGTGGTTTAATTTTAAACTTTGTTCAAGTCTTATTTGCAAGGCTTCCCAATAGGCCTTACTCAAAAATACCATAGTACTCTTTCTTGCCCCTCCAAAAATTTGCATAAGTATCATTTTTTAATTTCTCTTAGGGCGATTGTAAGTCACAAGAGGAATTGAAAGTAGTGCTCATGTAAAATTTTAGAGGAGCTATAATGGCATGTTTGAGAAAGGCCTACCGCAAGTCAAGCGCTCCAACCGCTTGGCCACGCTGTTCAGCACTGTTCTCCCCTTTTAAGAAAACTAGGGAAGTAAAAAAAAATTATAATTATTAATAACATTATTATTATCATCTGTAAAGATCATGATATCGAGATTACAAACAAATGGTACAAGCACAAGCCAGAGACCGTGATGCACAAAAAAGACAACAACATCACCAGCATGTGGAACATGCCAGTCAATACTGATAGAACTATAACAGCGAACAGCAGAGACCACACATCATCGTTAAAGATTCAGTGAATTCCAACTGCAAACTCGGAGTGATATGACTATTGCATCATATAGAAACATCGCACTGAATGAAATCGAAAAGAAAAGCAAGTACAAAGACCTAGAACTAGAAATACAGAGAATGTGGCAGATGAAACCGAAGTGATCCCTATGGTTGTTGGTGCGCTTGGTACAGTAAAGAAGGGGATGGTAGAAAACATCAAGAAAGTATCAGAGAGAGCTGCTGTGACAGAGATTCAAAAGATCTGCATGCTGGGATCTGTACGAATCCTGTGAAGATGCTTAGTGTATAAACAGAATGATTGACTTGAGTGACTGATGCTCCAGGTGCATGGTTTGCGCCTAGCCTCCTACGCAGGCGTTTTCAGGGGAGCTCGTATTCGTCCCTCCCCTAAAAACGAGCTCCTCTAAAAACGCCTGCGTGGGAGGCTAGGTTTGCGCCCGGCTGATGCACAAAAAGAGCACCAGCAAAGACTGTGACAGAAGAGATAATAATAATAATTAAATAAAAGAAACATGCAGCCCGTTTAATTCGCGTGGGCGTACTTACAATTACACAATTTGTCAAGGTTTAACGACTGAAGCTACCGATACAAGTATTACCTTGCAACTACCGTCGTTCCAGTAGCGTTAATGCTGATGTTCGCCGCCACCAAAAACCTTTGATGTGGGTCCTGGGGCTGATCGTTC